AGCCTGGGATAGAGCGCTGAAAACGAAGAAGAACAAAAGAAAATTGAACTGTACGTTCCGCCTCATGGCCATGCGAGTCGTGAGTGCATACAGAACAATTTCGACGGAAGCAGTATGCGTTATCGCCGGTATGATACCCATCGTCATCACCTTGGCGGAGGACACCGAATGCTATATGCGAAGAGATACCAGAGCAGTACGAAAAATGATGAGAACGGAGTCGATGTTTAAGTGGCAACTGGAGTGAGACGCAGCGGAGAACGGTAGATGGACACACAGGCTAACACCGATTCTTTCGACCTGGGTGAACAGGAAGCACTTCCACTTGGCGCAGTTCCTGTCTGGTCATGGCTGCTTCAGGAAGTACCTGCATCGCTTTGGACACACAATGTCACCCCTCTGTCCGGAGTGTGGCAACGTGGAAGAAACGCCGGAGCACATGGTTTTCGACTGCCCAAGATTTGAGGCAGTGCGAGTGGAGATGCCGGCTCTTAGCACGAGAAATGTCGTCAGTGAAATGTGCCGGGATGAGAGAACGTGGAGCGTCGTCAGCAGGGCAGTGACGCAAATTTTGTCGGAGCTGCAGCGAAAATGGAGAGATGATCAGCGAGTTAGCAACGCCGGCTAGCTGAGCTAAAGAGAAGTGCTTGAGCACAGCCCCCCCCCCCCCCCGACGAAATACTCTAGGGGAGTTCCGGGGGGATAGTGGCTAGAGGCGAGCAAGGTTTTAGTGGTTAAGAGTCCCACACTGTGCCAGAAGGAGAACAAACACGCAACACAGTGACAGGCCGGGCTTTTGAAGCTTTCCTTACCAAAAAAAAAACCGACGCGCACACACACACACACACACACACACGGTTTACTATAGTTTGGTAATAAGCAGATCAGCAGAGAATACTAAAGAAGACTAATGATTTGGTATGCATTGGGCAGCATTTACTTTCAAATGTAATCAACCTGGTTTGCCCAATTTTGCCCAACTTCGAGCTATTGACCTTGGAAACAGTGCTAATTTTTGATCAAAACCTTGAATATCTGAAGAAATATTGAAGACAGGGACTTGCTTCCCAAAACAAAATGGCGTATTTAAAAAAAAAACAAACATTAGTGTAGAACATACATATGTCAAAAAATTGCTTCCTGAAAAGATATTTGCAACAAAATGATTTTCTGAAGGCTCTTACCAAAAACATGACTCTGTAAACATAAGAGATAGAGCGTTGACGTCTTCAGCAAAAATGTTTGTTGTCATATTGTCTAAAACTTTGCTCAGTACACCATTTTGCTATCTCGACAAACAAAAAGAGGAAATTTTTCATCTTCCTACTAGGTGGATTAATCATAAAATGGCTGATCTCAAAAGAAGGCCGGGTCAGTGTTCACTCGGCTGTCGACAAAAGCAGGCCACTCTCGATGTGTGCTACGCGATCGTCTGTTTTCTCGACAGCAGCCATTGTGTGGTCCTCCTCATTGTTCTTCATCAGCAGTTCTTTCGGTCGATGCGTCGTCGACTTTGGAAAGCAACCGTTTCGTGATGAGTGTGTGAGTGCTGACCACGTTTTGTGTGCATTGCTGCAATGGACGCGCTCTGACCCTCGTTGGCATACAACAATTTGCCATACAATGAAACTACTGGAAGCGGCTCCAATTCTGATGGAGAAGGCTTTTTCGATAGCGGAAGATAAAATGTTTATTGTGTTGTACCTTTTGACTATAGTTTTAAGATGTATTGTATAGTGACCAAGAATCATCGGCTCTGTAAAGTTAATTCGGTTGAGCCTTATCAAATAAATTAAAAAAGAATGGGCTTTTTAAGTGCACAAACCTCTCCGAAGACGCTATATCAAGAGCAAATTTTCATTATGTCGTAAGTAACATTCGCACCAATCCGAAAAAAATAAAGTTTTGTTTTGATGACCGAAAAGTTATTCCTATTTCCAAGTAAACACATATAATCTCATAGTGATAGCAATGTTTAACATATTTAGCAGGGTTTTAATTATACAAATGCAAATCGCTAGCTTTCATGTTAAAAATACTGGTTTTTGAGTCAAAAGTTATTATACGTCGTTTGGTGGCCCCTATTGTTACTTAAGTCAAAGTTTATTTACCAGGATATTCGGGAGAATTATCAATTACGTCTCCTTACGTGCAACCTTTTCATCATTTTAGGACCACCGAAATCATATTAGCAACAAACAGTTCGATTTATTCACTTTAATAATGAGAAAGCGAAACGACGAACGTACACTTTTCACGGGTTTCTCAGTGCTGTTACTTAAGTCAAACGGCATCTCCATAGAAATTGGGTGACTTAAGTAACATCGAAAACTATTTTGATCGGAAGGTGATTACCTTTGGTTTGTTTTTTTCCGTCGGTCTTGTTTTCCGTGCTGAGCACCAATGCTACCGACGTGCCAGGAAGGCAGCTCCCACACCTGGACCCTACCTATCGACCCATCAACTCATGAACCGGGGACCAACGGCTTTACTTCCCTTCCGAAGGAAGGCGTGATCAGAGATGTTATGCCTCAGAACATCCCGGCGGCGCCGACTGGGATTGAACCCAGGCCTGCTGGGGCGGAAGGTGATGACCGCAAAAAGCAATTTGACTGGTAAATAAATTTAAAAATGGGATTTGATCCTATATTCGGACAGTATATAGTGTAATAGCAGGAGAATCGATTGACACTGATAGCTCGACTTTGTTTACCTTTGTTACATTCGACGTAATGAAAATTTGCTCTTGATATGGCTTAAATGGACCGTTTTCGCATAAACTAAAAAACGCACGTTTTGGCACTTTTAGACCACTGTGATTGGGGTAAAATGCACCCCATGGTAGACAAACCATAACCCCTGCAAGCAGGCATGGAAAATCATTTGTATTCATTTCGTGCATTCATTAACATTCATTTACCTCTAACTTTTGTAATCAACAGCATTCCGCAAAATGATGCGAATAGCTTTTGTAGGTTTTCTTATTAACTACAATTTTTGTTAATAAGTTAAATCCGTATCTCTGATGCATGACGAACCAGAGCGAACAGAAGCCACTAATGTTTTTCAGTGAATGTATTTTACATTCACTGAAAAACAGTAACAAGTTCTGCCCGCTCTAGTTCGTGATGCATAAGAGATACAGATTTGAGTTATGAGCAAAAGTTGTAGTTAATAACAAAACCTACAAAGGCTCTATACAACATTTTGCGAAATGCTGTTGATGAAAAAAGTTAGAGGCAAATGAATGTAAACGAATGTATGAAATGAATGCAAATGATTTTCCATTCCTGCCTGCAAGTAGATAATGCAAAAGGATGGGGTATTTCAAAAGATTATTCTTTTATGTTACATCAGAAATAAGGTCTCAATAGAATGTTAAACTGTGCTTCATCAAGTAAAATATCTAAAAAATATACGAAAAGTGATTTCGTTCAATTTTTTTTGCGATATATGCTATTAAAAGCTTAATTTGCAGTCGAAGATTTTAACAACTGTGTCATGTTTTGCACAAAATGCTATTTTATTTAAGGAATCATGATTTTCTGATCACGATTTTTTTTTGTGAAACCTCCAGTTGAAAACAAACACAAACCGTTAGGGTAAACGCTCCTATAGTTGCGGTACGTTAGAAGCGTTAGGTTCCTATAGTTGTGTATTGAGTCTCCATGCACAACTATAGGAACCTAACGCTTCTAACGTACCGCAACTATTGGAGCGTTTCCCCTACCCGGAAAATGCATCTGAGGAAAAGTTATCGCTGTTTTCCTATAAGTGGGCATTTTACCCCAGGGTGCATTATGGGTTGTTCTCCCTTACTCCTCTGGTTTCTCTCGTCATATAGCACTCGAAGTCCTCCGCCAAGGTGATCACAAATCACATGAGGATTCAAAAAGAAGATCAGTTCTGGGGGTATTGAGCGTCCAGGACAAAACTGGCCACATCAGGGAGTGTTCCGTGTATCCCGGGGAAGTGGCCAGTTTCTGTTTTGGACCAAAACTGGTCATGCGAGACCTCAAATCACATGAGAATTCAAAAACAATTGCAATGCTGATTATAGCAAGAGCCCAGGATCACATTAGACACATCCGAACATGTTCCGGGTAGTTTCCTTGGGTAGTCTCCAGTTCCTTTTAAAACCCATAATACGACACATGAAATCATCATCGTCATTATTATTATCCAATAGGCACTTACTGCCATCCAGTTTGAACATTGAATGAGAGCTACATCTTTCTCCTCGACGCGTAAGATATTAACACCTATCCAAACGCCCCGGCGAAACAACATCTATTAGATCGATCAAGTGCACAATGCACTCGTTCAGGGTAATCTGCTTCTCACATAAATACATATCTAGTATTTTCTAGAAACGGAGAATCTCTCTCTGCTTTCCCTCTTAGGCTACTCGCAATATGACTACCCAATTGTACATAGGCCCGTAATACTGCGAGCGCCCGTCCCAATCGGGCAATCTTATACACGCGGAAGGAAACTTGTCCCTTATAATGATAGTAACCTTCCGTCAGGTCAGGTTCGAAAAGTGCGACTGGTGTAACTGATGTAAGTGCACGACATGCATACCTATATGCAATAGTAACGAAGATTGTAATGCAAAGCATTTCATTACGGAACGAAGCGCGTCGCGATCACGATCCGTCCACCTCGTGCCGCCCCTGCGCGACTGTTCGAGCAGTTTGAGAACTATATCGTCACTGAGTTCTTGCCGCCACCAGCTGGATTATGTTATGTACTATACTACGTCAACAACAGCAATAATAGCCGCCATCTCCCCGGACCCGGAGGGGTGATTCAAAAACGATGGAGGCACACGATCCTCCTCAGCGGAGCAGGTGATGACGGCCGGCGAACGCGCGCGAGCCTGATGAACTTGATCAGAATGTGAACTTGGCTCAGTTCTGATCAGAACGTTGCCTTGTCGGGAGACGATCGTTGTTCCGGTCAGTTGCGGTATTCTTTTGTCGGATTTTTATTTTTGGTAAAACCTGTAACGTGATGGGAGTGAAAATTCGGTACTGGTCGATCTTGGCTGCGTGTGTTTTATTCGGTGTTGGTGCTCTAGGCTATCCGGATGATGACAACCTTTGGAAAAAGGAAAATGATATCCTGACGGCGGAGGAGGACGACTGGTTTCAGATTGATGATGAAGATGGGGATTTGACAGTGGTAAGGAGTGGTTTTTGAACGTTTCTGTTTGTTTTGTAATTTAAGTAAGCCATGCTTTTCCGGTTATAGCCACAGTTGATCGAAAAGTACGGCTACAAGGTGGAAATTCACTCGGTAACCACGGAGGATGGATACATGCTGACTATGTTCCGAATAATGCCCCGGCAGGTGCCGGAAACGAAGAAGCTTCCGATTTTGATGGTGCATGGCCTGCTTGGTAGCTCGGCTGATTTTATCATCACTGGTCCGAATAATAGCTTGGCCTACAATCTGGCCGACGACGGCTATGAGGTTTGGCTAGCGAATGTTCGTGGAACGCGGTATTCAAGACGTCACAAAAGTACACCGATCCATTCTGAGGAATATTGGGACTTCAGCTGGCATGAAATCGGTTACTACGATCTACCGGCCATGATCGATTATGTATTGAACAATACCAAATCGTCCAAGCTGATGTACATTGGTCACTCGCAGGGGACCACAGTTTACTTTGCAATGAGCAGTAGTCGGCCGGAGTACAACGACAAAATAGCCCTCATGACGGCTCTGTCGCCCGCTGTTGTACTCAAACGGATCCGTAGTCCAATTCTCCACCTCATGCTGGATCTAGCGGACACCATCAAGGAAGTATTGGACTCTCTAAGGGTCTACGAATTCTTTCCGTACAACGAAAATAACCACCGAGTGGCGGAATCGATCTGCCCCAGAAACACCAAAAATACTATTTGCGAACAATTGGTGGGACAGATAACTGGTCCCCATCCGGAAATGTATTCCCAGGTAAGTTTAATCGCAAACACCATGAATTCAACCGCAGTACTAATCATTCAAATATTTTTTCGCCGATCAGAAACTGGCCCTTGCCTATATGGGTCACGCTCCGGCCGGTGCATCCACCAAGCAGTTGATGCATTTTAAACAGGTCGTCCGGAGTGGCCTGTTCCGACAGTACGACTACGGCAAGAAGGAAAACCTGCAAACCTACAGCAACTGGAAACCTCCGACCTACAACCTGACGGCATCGTCCGCCCCGGTTCTGATCTACTACGGCCGGAACGACTGGATGGTGCACCCGCGGGACGTTCAGGAGTTTTCCAAGATGCTGCCCCGCCTGGTGGCAGCGAACCCGGTAGCGGATAAGAAATTTAATCATCTTGATTTCATTATGGCGAAAAATGCCCGCTCGCAAGTGTACGATAAGATGAGACCGGTGCTCGAGCAGTACAACAATAATATAATGAAAGATGATCGCCCATAGTTAACGATCGTGAGAACAATCGTTTGATTATTTGCAATTTGAAAGAAATGAGCCTAGCCTGGTCACTGTCGTCAGCGTCGCAGGTATCCCGATTGTCGTCATGGCACCGAGGGGTTGCATTTATCGTTAATTGTGAAGCGATCATAGGAGGCTTATTTATTTGATTGCACAAGGTGGTTAAATGCGAACACGTGGCCTACTGTGCGTTTATTTGGTTCGTCGGGTAAACAGTAGAATTAAGCTTTGATTACGGTGAATTATTCTTCGCAGCGACACGTGCGTTGTTTACATACCTAGTTGTCATCGAGTGTAAATTGAAAAGTTTCAATAAATCAATCTGCCTATATATATACATGGTGGGATCAAAAGGTGTGACAACAAATTACACTGAGCTACAAGCTATGTACTGCGTCAAAGCTTTGCCTTGCCAGATCAATCTACCTAGCTAGAATGAACAGGTGAAAAGATAACATTTATGCTGATCAGTGTTACCCAGTCCGATTAGAATTAATGCAGAAACGGGTGTAAGTCAGGTCTAGGTAAGGCTTGAGATCTAACAGCTGAGATGTGCATTATGTAACAGCCTATTCGAATACTAAACGCCGACAAACTTGATCAAGCTGGAATCTGGATTCAGTAGGATTTAGAACAGCGTTCAGATTGCAGGCTTTGCAGGACAATGGGTGTTTGTAAGTGCTACTGGTTGATCGTTCTCGTTTGTACGTTGCTGAATAGTGCAAAATGTGAAGATAGTTGGTTTCAAATTGATGATGAAGATGGGATTTTGTCAGTTGTAAGTTCGACCTTCGTATATCGTGGAACGTTCAAATCCTAATGTCAACTATTTTAGCCCGATTTGATTAGCAAATACGGATACGAGGTAGAAAACCACGCCGTAGCCACAGAAGACGGATACGAACTGACGATGTTCCGAATTTTGCCGCAACAACCACCGGATACCAGTAAACTTCCCGTTCTAATGGTTCACGGCCTTTTGGGAAGCTCAGCCGACTTTATCATCATCGGTCCAAACAACAGCCTAGCCTACCTACTCTCCGACAATGGCCATGAAGTATGGCTGGCGAATGCACGAGGAACACGCTACTCCAAGAAACACTCCACGCTTTCGCTTGATTCGAAGGAATACTGGGACTTCTCCTGGCACGAAATCGGATACTACGATCTACCGGCCATGATCGATTACATTATCAATGCAACAAATGCCAGCAAGCTCCACTACATTGGATTCTCTCAAGGAACCACGGTGTACTTCGTGATGACTTCAACTCGTCCAGACTACAACGACAAGGTAGCTCTCATGGTAGCTCTTTCGCCCTCCGTATTTCTCAAACGAGTTCGGAGCCCATTCATACGGACAACGGCTCGATTTTTCGAGAAATTTAAGAAATTCCTGGCTTCTCATAATGTCTACGATGTCTTCCCGCACACGGCGATATTCCATCTACTAGCCGGGTCAATCTGTTCGTACGCAAGTTTTGACGGCTTTTGTCCGGAACTGATTGGACAACTTGCTGGACCCCATCCGGAATCATACGATCAGGTTTGTGTTACCCGTTTCTCAATTTATCTCGTAAAATAACTCTACAACTACCTTTTTTGTACATCGAGCAGAAGTTGATAACCGCATACATTGGCCACACCCCGGCTGGTGCCTCAATCAAACAATTCACCCACTTCGGGCAGGTCATCCAGAGTGGTCTCTTTCGATGGTACGACTACGGTCGGGAAGGCAATATACGATTATACGGATCCGGAAAACCACCGACCTATGACCTAACGCTGTCAAGTGCTCCGGTTTTGCTGTATTACGGCCTGAACGATTGGCTCATACATCCACGAGATGTACAGGACGTTGCCGAAATGCTTCCACGGGTGCTCGCCACAAAACCCGTAGCGGATAAAAAATTCAATCATTTAGACTTCATTCTAGCGAAGAACGTGCGCTCTCTAGTGTACGATCAGTTGATCCAGATACTCGAAGAGTTCAATTGATTTAGATTAAATGTGCTGAAGTGAATTGGTCTACGTATCTGGAAAGACAATCCCAATTGGCCTGGTACACAGTGCAATATCTCAGCAGTTCCGTGAGCCGAACTTCAAAGGCAGGTGGACCTACCCTAAGAGGTCTACTGCCATTCCTGTCATAAGCCATTGTAACTGTTGTAGTAATCCCATTGGCTGAATACACTATTTTGTTGTTTTGGATTCAGATAACAGCGCCACCATTCTTTGTAACGGAATAACGTTGCAGCTGTAGAGAAAATAGACAGTGGAAAACAAACTACATAACGGAGATGTCATCAACTTGCGTGCGAACGTGATGGTAAATTTTCAATTGGCGGTGCAATTGGGTACTTAACTTTATCGGTGTTTTTACATCATCTGACATGTACCAAATTTTGTGAAATGTTGGATTTCGGTTCCAGTTTTAATGCAAATTAGGAATATGCATTAACCTCAATACCCTTAAAGAACTCATTAAAAATCTAAAATTTCATCAATTTTGGTGCACTGGACCTATTTTAAATAAGTGCGATTACATAAGCGAAAATCATCATCTTAGCGCCCTTCTGTTCGACTTTGTATGGGACCGAGCTATCAACTAATAAATGTAGTGTCAAAAACTAAAAATTTAAATCTTGATTTTGAAATCGTCTATGGGATCGAAAAAAGAGAGAAATTGTATCCAAGACACGCCCGTAGATTTGACGTTGGATCACGTGATCGGTATCAATATTCGGTGACTGTGCTAGGGAAACCACTTTTTTTCTAATCACGGAAACGCCTCATTTTCTGATGACAAAATTTTTGGTTTATTCAATAGATAGTAAAACAAAAGCAAAAATTGATTGATGAACTTCTTACTAAAATTTTACTTTTTACTAATATTCGCGATCGATCATTGCTCTTTTCTGCCTCCTGGAGAAAACCTTTCTTTAATTTCTTAGTGTTTCTTATTAATTGACAAGGTCATGTTGTACTCGGTCATTGCGAAAAACAAATATGTACCACTTCAATATTGTTACGTATTTGACCACAAACGTTTCATTGCTGGGTACATTATCAAATAGCTTTGGGAGTGATGTTGCTGGCAGCAAGCAATGAAAATTAACTCTTAAACAACAATAATTTATGGTGGTCCTGAAAAGAAACGTTTTGTCGTGATGGTTGAGTAATGCTGAGCTATTAGGGTGCTTCTTCTTCGATGAAAGGACGCTCATGTGGGCTGCAGCTCGCTGCTTGTGGGCAGCCTTTTTTTGTGTACTGGAGAATAATGTTCAACACCACGCGCTGAAAACACTGCTGCTGCTGCTGATGACGACCGACCGGACACCACCACATACGGTTATTGAATAAGCACCGTTCGGCGAGACCGGATGGAATTCGATTTTGAAATCTGTGTGAGGGAAAGCTCCTTTTTCAGGCAATTGGTGATAATTTTGATCACCATTGCAACAGTTGGACATTTGTGTAATTTGCAATAGTGACCTATTGAAAATTGATAAAGTGTTCTTTTTGTCAGATTTGAAAACAAATTTCCAATCGATTGGCATATTTAGAATTAAAATCCATGCACTATTGACAGAGTTATAAGTGGTCAAAACCTGACCACTTTTCGTAACGCGGTCGATTTTGTTTTTTTTTTAATTGCACCTCCAATATGTTGCCAAAAGACGTAATCCAACGTCAAAATATATCGTTGTGCCCAGAAAATAAAACTCTGTTAGATGATGTATAAAAAACATGAATGTTTTTCTAAATTAAACAGCCCAATTTGAAATTCCAGACTTTTTTCCGGTTTTCCCGGTTAAAATAAAAAAAATCGGTTTTTAATATTCAACAACTTGTATTTGAATTATACGTATGAAGAGATGTTCAGCCTTTAGGAACTTACAGATGTTCATGGCAAAATTTCAATGGTTAAGAAAAACAAAGAAATCTTGGAAAACAATTGGTTTCTATTGTTTTGAGAAATATTTATATCAGATGAGCAGTTCTACGTCAAATAACAATTTGATCAGACTCTACCTTCTCTAATTTGCATAAAACTTTATGATGTTTGTTATGGGCAATCTCACATTTGTGCTAAAATTTTGTCTTTATGAATTTTGCTTTTTTTCAAAATGGCTTATTTGACATTTTCAAATAAATCGTAGCACTCAAACGTCATTTCAAATTGAAATGACGTCTAAGACAAAGTCATAGGGAATAATAAATTATTTCAAGGAAAAATATAAACGGTCGATTTTTATTTGTATAATTTCGAGTACCAAATCCAAAAAAGTGGTAAAAAGTTCAATAACATAAAATGTCCCTGTTCAATATTTTTGATTTGTTTAAAACCTTGTGAAAAAATCAAAGTTTAGATATATTGAAAACCTTAGACACTTAAAAATTGACGAATGAGTGTAAATTCTACCAAACAAGTGATTCTGCAGATAGATTTGGAACTGACAGCAGTAGAAGGAATGACGGATAAACTGATAGGCAGCCGAACAATTTTCTCTACCGAGGGAGAACTTGATTAAATGCGTAAAAAACCGAATGCCAACGATTTAAATAGACGAGTGAGATGTTTTTTGGCTCAGTGATTTAAATCAGCTGAATTGAACGCAGAAAATTTACAGTATTTGAGTAACACTTACGTGTTATGTGTTACAGTATAATACTTTTCTATATGTTAATGTCAAGTTATGTTTAAAGCTACAAAATAAAATAAATGATTCTTTCTGCAAAATTCTCACTCAGTTCACTCAGAAAAATGCAATCGTAAAAGGCTCAGCATGTAGAAAATAATAAGTGAGGAATCATCCACCCTACTACACTGATAATCATTCACGTTACCAAATATATCATATTAGCAATATGATCCATTCATGCCTTTTCCATATGTTGCAATGGCGACCCGCAAAATATTGCTTCACGCACCATCTAGCGTTGAAAAGGGTCAGCAACAATCATTCAATTACAATCGAGGGGCCCGAATATAGCACTTATTACACAAGTAAGAGTCAAATTATTTTCATTAATTACATAGTGTATATTACTTTAAAATTTGTCTGACATGTCACTGTTGTCATGAAATAAAATAAAATGCTGAAATATATTCATTTTAAATATTAAACAAATTTTCATTTGGTTTACTCCTCGTGACGATAAACAAATACATTGGTAGCCTTTTTGGCCATCGAGGTGCTTTCATCGCTAAAAATTCGGTTCGCAAGCTAAGTGAAAGAGTGGATCATATTGTTAATATAATATATTTCAGTGCCAACATTTCAAAGGGGCGTAATTGCTTTTGTAAACAATGGCTTTAGCTGTCGATTTCTCGCAACTGAAAGCTCACCTCTTCAAATAAACAATGCTAGATGGTAGAGGAAACATTTCCCTACTTGGTGGTGTAAATAACTTTCATGAGTGAGCTTTTATTCATGAGAAATCGAAGGCTAAAGCCATTGTTTACAAATGCAATTACGCACCTTTGAAATGTTGGCACTGATTTGATGTTACGCTCAGCTGTTTTGCTCAATTATGCGTTCATCGAATAACATAGAAGCAATGAGAATACGAACAAAATCCGTGCGCCTCGCACAAGCTACTGCTCGTTTTAGATGTTGTATTGTAACCGTTGGTCCCTATATTTTAGCTTGTTGGCTTCTCCACAAGCATCCCAATGTCATTTAGCACGCCTGCCAGTGAGAACCTGGGGGGGGGGGGACGTGCTGTCAAATCAGCCTACTGATCATTCTTGTATGAAACTGGTTCCAAACGTAAACAAACGCTGTAGGTTTCTTATGGCTTGTTTACGTTTGGAACCAGTTATGCGAGGTAGGCGACAATTGTTCGTATTTGACAGCCACCTCCCCCCCTTGGTGAGAACCTAATTCCTTAATCCAAGCCTGTAGAATATCGGACAGCCTCACTGGCGGTTGCATCCTTAGCTGTCATTAGAAAAATGCGCAGAGCCATGCCATTTATTTAATGAGTACGCGTTACACAAGATAACACCCATCTTAGTAGCCGACAAAGAGTTCCTTTCCAACCGAACGAAAAGACCTATGTCAAACTTCGGATTTTCCCGATAATGTATCAGAATTGTATAACCACTAAGGTAGATATTCAAAGCATTGGTCGCGCTCATTCCTGTCCGTGACTTACAAGGTAGTCGAAGTGCGCGATAATTTAAAGTTGCTTTCTTTCAGTCTATAGTTGGACGGTTACAAACAATTTATAAAAAAATAGGTGCTAGTATAAACGTTAATAGTACGTTAGCTATTTTTATCCGTAGTCAAAGCCGTCAGCGTCTGGTGTCAGCGTGAATATTGTAAGAAAATGGGCCTTTTCGTTTACGTCTTCTGGTGTCATCCGGAAGGGTTGTATATATTCCACAGCAATAGCGTAGGCCGAGTGCCAGACGAAGCATGTCGGTATCCTTGTAAGACGCCGATAGTCCGTCGACATTTTTAGAATGAAGTTCAGTGAAATCGGGCTAAAGGAGAACGTATTGCGGCCATTTTCCCGGCGCCATCTTGGAAGCTGACCAGACAACACGAAGCTGCCAACAATACAGGTCGTCTGCCTGAATCGTCCTTTAATCAACCCCCAATACGGTTGAACTAGGCCGTGACCATCACCTACTGTTCCGGAGATGAACTAGCCATAGGCTAAAAATCTCCTAAATAAAGAATAATAAAAAAAATCACCTACTGTTCAGAAGCCGCCAAGACGTTTCGTTTAACATAAAGGGTGATACGGTCAAAATTTGGTCAAGGGAAAACGCGTGTAAATCGGTGAAATCGTTTATTTAAAAAATCAAATTAAATTTCTTTTTCAAGTTCAATTAGTATAAAATTCAGGAAAAATATTCAGTTAGGCTTCCGCTTTTCCAAATCCGAATTGCCGGGCCTTACGCTTGACCCCTGCCATCAGATTTTGTACAGCCACCTTGTCCACCTTCTTCGCCGCAGAAAGCCAGTTTGCCTTGAACTGCT